AGACTGCAGGAATAATAATCCGTCGTGACACATTAACGCGATATCGATGCGGAAGAGCCGACTTTATCAATTATATTCATTATGGACAAGGATAAAGGTACAAAATGCGCGAAATGAAACATGAGCAAAATCTATTCCATCGATTTCGATATTGTCGGTAGAATGTCACGGTGCGTACCGTATGCTCCGCGTATAATATTAATAGAACTACATATTGATATCAATTGCATCAACTCCCTGGGAGGGATCGTGCTTTATCAAAGATTAAAGCACATATTTGAAGAACCAAAATAATTGTATAAATTAAACATAACTTTCTCGTCACACGGCGAACGGCGGTGAATTTTGAATTATCGATTCAACGAAATGTTTATAGCGTCCTGCAATATTCTCGCGCGTACAATCTCCTCGAATAAATAAAAAATCCGTGTATCTCTTCTATCTCGCTACATCTTTTGCATTTGTTTCCTCTCCCCTCCGCTCTTGCTTCGCCTCGCTCAAAGAGTAACGGGGCCGCATTTCTTTTATTTTCCATAGAAAAATGCACGGCAGAAGAGAACAGACCTATTAAATAGTGTATCAAATATACTCCGCCGAGTCGCGCGCGCGCGCGCGCGTGCTCCATCGTACGAAATATAAAAATCGGAGCGTCGGAGGCAGAGGAATAGGATTCCGAGCTATACACGTCCTAGATGCATCTGGGAAAAATATTGCAGCGGCTTATCAGGTTTCGCGAGGCAGCCAGCCTCCAAGTTCGCTCCCGCGATGTTTCGTGCTATGCGGTTTCGGCTGCGATTTCCGAAGCGTCCGCGGAAACTACGGACGGGAGCTACGAGCTCTACTCCAATCAGATACCGTCTAGGTCGGGCTGGCATCAACGGCCAATCGCATTTACTGGATTGCCGCTCGCGGTTTTTGGCATAAAGGCTCGCGCGCGCTTATTTCGCGAGATACCACGAGAGTAGAGGCTAAAAACGCTAAAACGAAGGCACTCCGGTACGACGGTAAGTCCGCCTTTTAACGGCCTCGCCTTCATTCGATACGCGAAATATCGCGATATTGGAAACAGCGAAAAATTCTACTCCCTCCCCCCCCTCTCTCTCTCTCCACCGTAATTTAATGAAGGGTCGAGACTGCATTCGCGACCCGCAAGAGATTGCGATACATGAGATTGTATGGTGTGCTTATCAAGCAATTATTGAAAGCATCGTAGCGCGTATAAACGACAAAAGAGATATTTCTCTTAGCAGCTCAGCTCTTGATGCCAAAGCTTATATAACATAATTGGAAAATGTTTTCAGGTTCGAGATTTTATTTGTCAGATGGTTTTCGGTGCCAAAAGACATCGAGACGCTCGCAAGAAGTCAATATATCAAATCATTATTTGTCATATATTTATTTCAAACACGTTCCGTGCCGTGTCGACTACACGTAACTTTTTACTTGCGTTACTTAAATTGTTTATATAAAAAATATCTCTACTTCTATTTATACTATTTTTTATATTATACTATTCATATTATTTCTATTTCTATTTATAGAAAACTTCTATTTTTATTTATATATTCTTTTTCTGTATTACTTTCTTCTCTCAATAATGGTTCAATAATTTTATTAGTATTATCAGACATATCTTATAAATGTATGCATAAACTCAAATAATCATCGGAAACCAGCACACGGAACGTGTTTATAGACATTTATATGTTAATATCAAATGATGTTTGCATTAAAGAGATATATAATGACAAATTCAATATATGCAGAGTAATAAAATGTAATGGAGATTACCAGTATTCAAAGTATTAAAGGATTGACCTGTCATGTTACTCACATGATGAAAAGTTACTACTAGCGCCACCTATTGTATGGATGCAACGACTGCGAAGGTCGATTGTCGCGCAGTCGGTAATGTCCATTCCTGCTTTACTGTTATAGTGATACATACCTGAAAACAAACAAATTGATATCGTAAATATTATATATGTATGTTTATACTTGTCAAATATTATAAAAATAAATTAATTTAAGAATGAAATGTTAACCGTTATTTTTGTAAATATCAATTAATATGAAAGAGATATATTAGTGATATACATCACCGATACAAGGATACAACATAAACGAGACATGTAAAAGATACAAACCTTGTCAGAAAACGATGAGAAATGAGGCGCCGAAACCCAGCAACCCAGCTATGAAGTCTCGAAAGGTATCCACACATCCATACAGGTAATCCAGATAGGTAATCCAAATAGGTAATCCAAATGAGTAATCCAAATAGGTAATCCAAATAGGTAATCCAAATGAGTAATCCAAATAGGTAATCCAAAGAGGTAATCCAAATAAGGCACAGACTATTTTGCACTTTTAAACACTATTTCACACTTTAACACTCGCGATTGCGGTTTTCCACAACATTTTGATCTGTCGCTGGCCCGTAACGAGAAATTTGCGCAATGTGTTTCTGTCGTTACATTTCTAGCCCGAAAAATCACGATCTATTCGTACACATAATTTAGTTTCGTACGATGGGAATTTACCGAAATGTCGACCGCGCATGGGTAATAGCAATGAATTTTTCATTTCATGCAATCCGGTTGTTCTAACAAAGCTACATTTTATTCTCGCGAATGACTTTAATTTCGAAAAATGTAAACGACCTGGTTGCTACGAAGTATTAAACGTTCGCGATCAATCCACGTTTATTTATTATAGCGATTTGAACGGCGCGACCGTTACCTTCACGATAAGCCGCCATTTTGGGTAGCCTCCCTGCTGGTCCAAGTACGTTACGATCGGCATAGCGCAAATTTCTCGAAATACCGAACACGTATATCGTCGACGATCACATATCACGGTTCTTATTCACGATCCACGCATTCACGGTTTGCACCGGAACGTATTTTATTCGCGCGAATGATTTGATTCCGCGACGATTCACGCACGCTAAATGTTGATCGCCCGCCGACTACGAAACACCACCGAAGTCAAGTGTCCGTCTTGACCTTAACCGAATCACGATCAAATTATCCGCGAATTATTCGGAAGCTTCACGGTGACGAACAACATTATAAGCTGATTATACTAGCTCTCATTGATTTTTCAACATTCTAGGTGCCAATGAGATAATTATTAAAAGACAACTAACTTTATGGAAGCTCGCTTGACTTACGACGTATACTCTGGTACACTCCCGACAAATACCGGAGCTTGAATGCTCACGTTCAAATATATCGTAACGTAAATTAATACGTGAATACGAACAACCGACTCCAATAATTATTCACAGAATTGCCGATAATGAGAGTAACGACGTTTTCTGACGACGTCAAAAATTGAGTAATTTTGAATATCCTATATTTATCGCGATATTGTTCTCAATTTTTTTTTATGCATTTTCAATCAAACTATACCGTACTCGACATATGAACCAGCAAACATGTAAAAAAGAACCCGACCGATAAAATTAGATAAAAGCAAATCGTTATGTAAACTCACGCCTATCACTGAATCAATTAAGATATTATGTATCAATCAATGAATATATTATATATCATTCAATGCTCGATTACGACTGTACAATGTTACCTGAGATGATCCGCCATTTCGTATAACGTCCGTTACGATGCAAGTTTGCATAGATTTACATACCGCGATATTTCCGAGATAGCGCGTATGTTACGCGTCCGATCACGTATATCGAGTCTCTAGCATATTATATACACAATTATAACTTACGTCAAGACGTATTTTAATTTCATGCATGATTTTGGTCTCCGAGATCTCGCGCGTAACATGTTGCCCGGCCGAGTAAACACTGCGGAGTCAAACGCTCACCTTGACGATACCATTTCGCCGAATCACGGGCAAAATCTACAAAAAAAGTTCATGAAAACAAATAATATCATGAATCGACTGTAGTAGCTTCGTCTCAACTTTCCATCGTATTATTTTCCTCTCCCGACACGATATTATTAAAAATTGACTATCTCTTTCTCATGAAAGTTCATTTGATTCACTTATTCACTGTGCGCTAGCGCCATCTCGACGATAGTATACTGACTAAAGAAACAAATGCAATTCAAACGTACGGTATCTCAATCAACGTACGAATACAGATGATCAACTGCTCAAATGATCATTCTATAAATTTCCCATGGGAATAATAAAAATTTATGTAAAACGCATTAAACACTGATCACGGACATGAGACATTTATAATCGTTAGTCACAATCTTATGTCTTTCTAGTCAATCTATCCCCCCGAATAATTCTAACCTGTAACGTGTTCGGAGCATAGGGCCCGAAATATCAAATGCCTGATTATTCCTTCAACATTAATCGATAAATCACGTATTATTCTGTGCTCATTCGTAACAAAAACAGAGTTACCTTCAATGAGATACCAGCATATTGTACATAGCCTCTATAGTGACGAAAATTCACAGTCTACATACCGCAAAGCTTCCGAAATGCTGGACGTGTGTATTACTGACGATTACTAACATGCTTTCGACGATTATTTCGATTTGTACGTAGTTATAACTTTTGTCGAAGTTTTGCTCTAGCAAGCGGCGGAGTCCGCGAATACTCACACGCTATATGTGTCGGCCTAGTGAACACTGATGGAGTCAAACGCTCTCCATTGATATATATTTTCGTTCGGATACCATACAAGAAATTTCCGAGAATTTTATGGCAACAAACGGTACTACTGGCAGTCGTTGTTTTTATGTCATCGATAGGATACATTTTCTGTTTACCAACAAAATATTTCTTTATCGAAAGACGGTGTGTTGGAAAGGTGTGTAGGGAAAAAGTGCAGTTAGTTAACTGTTCTTTCTATCAGCACTTAGTGCACTTTTGTACGATTTTTTGTACTTAAATATTTATTTAATTTTGAATATAAAAATGTGTAAGCATATAAAAGAAATAGAACTAATGGAGGAGGGTTTTTAATATATCGTATTCAAATTTAAATATATCGTACGGTATCGTACGGTAAAATAATATCATTTAAATAAAATAAATCTGACTGATCACAAGCCGTACCTTGTATGTTCCGATTTAATGTTTAGATAACTCACAATATTAATTAATAGAACATCATGTTTGCTAATGTATATTACTCTATATTTTACAGTGATATATAAGAAAACAACGAATACTGTGCGAGTTATCAAAATAACATGCAGTTCCACTGTGAAGACGGCTTAGAGCTGTTATCGAGGTTCAGAGAGAAACCATCTTCTATTAACCTCGACGAAGTTTTGTTTCCTACTGGCATTAACAATGACAAACTCATAGAAATTGTTGGAGCGTCTTCCACCGGGAAAACTTTACTGTTATGTCAATTTTTAGCAAAGTGTATATTACCTACGCAATACAAAGAAATCAAGATCAATGGATGCAATGCTTGCGCAATAATAATTGATACACTTGGTCAAATCCAAATTGGTAAAATATCAGAACTTATGGCTTCTATGATACATAATGCCTATCAAAATATTAGTATAATTCCACCAGTAGAAATAGTGAACTCTATTATAAATAAGTCTCTGGAAAACTTGACAGTAATCAAGTGCTGCAACAATGATCAGTTCCAGATTGTTTTAAATATGTTGGAGAATGAGCTGCTTGGCAATGAAAAGATTGCTCTTTTAGCTATAGATAACATATTTGCATATTATTGGCAAGAGAGGTGGGAAAAGGGTATTCTCAGTATGGATTCTTATGTAAAAAGTTTGATCAAACTTATACGAACACGTACATCTCAATTTAAAATTGTAACAATATATACAAGATGGGATAGACCAATGTCCAAAAGTAAATCATACACAAAAGATTATCAGACAGAAGGGATGGGCACTAATTATAAGTTGCAGCTTTATAGAAATAAAGAATCTTGCAAGTTTGTATGCCATGTAAAATCGATGGAAGATATAAAAAACATTCAATATATTATTTATAATTCTGGTATAAATTGGATTCTTTAATAGTATGTAAAACAATTTTTATCAGTAATCAATTGAAGATAGAAGAACTTTATCCACTATGTCCAATGGATTTAACAGTCTTGAGCCTGCTATTGTTATCTGACAATTTGGTTTAAATATTGATATAATTTCCTTGGTTTCTCTTACTTCCTCTGGTGTTATACCTCCCATGACATAAACAATAATCCATTTATTGTCACAGGGATGATGTTTCATTCGGCCTTTGGAGAATAAACTGTGAAAAATATTTAATGACACCAAGTCAATTCTAAAGTTTCTACAAAATTACTTTAAAAGATTTAAAAAAATAGCCACTTAGAATTTTGCAGCAAATAATTTACTATTGATTTTAACTTACTTGAATCCAGCAGAAATAAATGAAGGTGACCTTTGATGTAAATCTGGTAGCTCATATCTCTCTGGATGGAGCATATCCCTTAATAATTGTTGTAAAATACCAACACGTTGAACAATTTCTTGGGAACTCGACTTTGATATCAAGGAGCTGTATATATGAAATGTAAATTAAATATAGATTTCTTTATCTTCTGATCATGAAAATGTAAAATATAGAATTATAATTATTATTATATGTAACAATTACAAACATTGTATTTGATATTAGCAAGTTTATTTGAGTTTTTTGCGCGAAACTAGAAAATGTGATAAAAGTAATTTTCATACGTGTAATTATGTAAATATGTGCGTTGCTGTGCTATTTCGTGTAACACATTCATGATGCTTCCTGCCACTTTCGCAGAGATCTCTTTCATAGCCTCAGCATCATCAGCAACACCTAGTTTAGATATATTGTATATTCATCATTTGTATTAAAGATTTTTTCTAATGTAATATATTAAAAGGTGGATATTTTCTATAAATTTCTATAAAATATGATATTAAACATATAATATATATTTTGATATACAAAATTTATATAACTTAATTGAAATATATATGATAATATATTATGTTCTACAAACCAAAAAGCAATAAAGTTTGTTGATAGACTGACATCTTGTTCATCACATTTTCATTTAATTTCATCATGTCCTCATATATAGCGTCGGCAATAGATTCCTTCAACTGTTGTTCTTGCTGAGAAGAGAACTGTATCTCAGTCCCAGTAAGCGCATAAATATGCACTAAAAGCGCCAGTATGTTGTCTGTATCTAGGCCTCGTTTCTCGCGTGTTCTTACTATATTACTGAACTGAAAATATTTGTGAAGGAAAAGGTACATTTTTTCTAAAATATGATTTCAAACATACAAAAAATTAAATATGATAATTACTTGCCCTAGCACGCTAGTAGATTCACGACTTATAGCAATGTTCTGCAGAACTAACTTCTCGAGACTAATTAACAGTTCTAATTGAGAAGTTTTCTCGGACGTTAAGGCTTGTATAATTGCCAATATCACCTACGATAAAAATACTTTTTTATAATTACGTAACTTTATACGTAATTTTTTTTAAGTTTCATATATAATAAGAGAGAACTATAAAATAATCAGAGCTTTATTTATCAAGATGTGTCACGCAGTTTAAAGTTTTAATATTAAATTATTGAAATACATACTTGAAGTTTCTTGTTCAACTCCGATATTGCACGAAGATCACCTATGTCTTTAAATCTATTTACAAGCTTCTCTAAGCTATGCACAGAAATTCTCGTTGCTAATTTCGATCTTAGATTTTCTTTCAGTTTCGGATTTTCGTTCGTTAATAGAATATCGACAAGCATTTTATTTGCGGTGGTCAACACTTCCTTTTGTTTTTTCGTAATTAATACATTCGTCAAACTTTTGTCGTTGCTAGCCAAACATCCTGGTACTTCGTCGATAAGTTGTGAGGCTTCCTTGAAAAATTAAAATTTATCTTTTTTATGTAATAATATTTTTGCAGATTCCTGTTTATATATAAAATTTCTATGTGATATATATTGTATTCAATTAAATTATTGGCTATTATACCTGTGGATTGCAAAACAGGGGAGACATATTTATTGCAACATCGTTACAATGATGAGATAAATGAGGCAAAGTGCATAATATCTTGGCCAATAACGATTCCGTATTGTTACTGGTAGGAGTGCAAAGATCTAATGTTCTGTCGACAAAGATTAAAGACACTCCTTCTGCACCAATTAAACTCTGTTATATATGTAAAATAAATTAATATCTCCTATTATCCTTTATATTGTTTATAATTATTATATGTTTGCAATAAAAGAACTTACATTCCTACGATTAACAGCTGCAGGTAATATTTCCAATTTTTCAGCAACATATTCACTAAATCTTCCCATGGAATAAACATCTTCTTTTAAATTTAAATATGTGAACAAGCTGTGAAATAAACTTACAAAATGATCGACTGCATACTCAGAATCCTTTGTTAAAGTGTTATTCAAAGTTGGCGATAGATCACCAAAAGGTGGTGTCACCAATAGATCATTGTCTATTAAACTAATAAAAATTGGTCGAAATAGTACAACTACCGAACAATCCTAAAAAAAAAGTCACGCATATATAATATAATTGAATTTAAATTAAAAATGAAAAAGGTGTTGTATATGCAAGAAATAATACCTGTGATTGCAGATTGGAACACATCCAGCATTTTACATCCCTCTTCAACTTGGCATAATCTATTTTATCTTCTAATGGTACTGTATCTTCATAATTCAATACACTTGAATGTGCAGCAGTGACAATTGTACAACAATCAAATATATTTTTCTCCATTATCATCTTAACTGTGCGTTGATAAAAAGCTGGATTGGAGGAGGTTGAAATAATCATTGCTTTCTTGCAATTCTTCACTTTAGCATACTGTAATAAATTAGAGATTTAGTATAAAATAACAGTTAGTATAAAATAACAGTATCAGTTATATAACATAAAAATGCTTATTAACTACTCACACGAAAATTATACATGGCCAGCTCATAAACTGACACTGCACCAGCGTCTTTAAGGAAGGAATATGTTTTGCCACCAGTATACCAATGCAAGCATTCTGTCGCTGCATGATCTATATAAACTGCAGACCCATGTACAAGATGGACAATATCAGCCCAGGTGTCAGTAAGAAATTGCTCCAGGTTGTTAACAGCTTCCATTATTAAATATTTGTATACATCGCATGTACTTTATAAAATTATCTTTGACTCTTGTTTAAAAAATGATAGAAATTTATGAAGAGGATAAAGTCATAGGTAATTATTGCAAATTAATCCTCTTTCTCTCTCTCAAACAATATAAACATAATAGCAATAAAGTATTAATACAGTAATATATTATTAAATTGTAACAATAACATGACACTTTAACTTTATTATCACAAATATCAAACTGTGCTTATGACTGTGTATAACACAGTATTCACATGTCTTCCATGTTGACCATAATTCTCATTTTTCATGTCACCATATGATCAAACAGCTGATTATCATATGCAAATGTAACGTGTCAAATGTTAGTGGAACCAATCTTACTATTTGAGAGAGAGAGATTCGTATTACATGATAAAATGTCCACTTGACTTGTCGAATAGTATTATTTAAAAACAACAAGATTTCCTGATTTCCTTTTATCGTTGAGTCTTGCTAAAAATAAAAAATTTCGTTACCTTTGTCGTTGAGTTCCACTACTTGAAAATATACGATATACTGGATATACGATCGGTTGAGTCATACCACTGCATCAACTTATCGTCCATTTCTATTTGCGTCGTTGGCATGAGGATATAGCTATAAGAAATTCCGTAAGACGCACGTAAGATATAAATTGATAATTTTTTCATGATAATAAATCTTGCTTTCAAGTATTAAAAGATATCACAAAATCGGTAATAAATATTCGTTGTTAAGATATCTAAATACGAGTGTATTGGTGAAACGATCTGTCAAGAATCAGGAAGAGGAAGCTGCATTCTGATATATATTTTTGACGTTTCTCATTCTAATGGCACTGACAGGACCTGATTTACCGAAAATACCGCAACCTTTAAAAAATATTCAGCAGTATTTAACGATCGCTACGAAACATGATCAGCGGGACAACGTTGTCAGTTATTGGTGTAGGTATATTTTTGCTAATCTCTTGGCAAAAGAAATATTTTAGTATTTTACAAGACAAAAGTTTTCTTTCTTTAATCTTATCTTTTGATATTTTGAAATTTACGTAAAACAGGTCGTCTTTATGCTCTTCAAACTGGGCTAAAACTATCGACAAAAACAGCAGAAGAAACAAGCTTTCTACTGAAATTGATGGATTGGTTAGAGGCAACCAAAAAGGCACTACATGACAATGAAGCTATTACTAATGAAGTAACTGCTCAAGCACACTTAGAGAACTGGGCTTTAAAGCTCTTTCTATATGCTGATAAAAATGATAGAGCAGCTAACTTTACTAAGAATGTAGTGCAAAGCTTTTACACTGCTCAGGTGTTATACGATGTGTTAACATTATTTGGAGAACTGAGTGTAGAAGCATCGCAAAATCGAAAATATGCACAATGGAAAGCAGCTTATATTCACAACTGCTTAGCAAATGGAGAAACTCCAGTTCCAGGCCCAATGAAAGAGGATGATGAAGAAGAACCAGTTGAAGCATCAAATGACGGTAAGTTTGTTATTTGTAAAATATATATATATATATAACACAAGTCTACTAGATTCTCACAGATACTTTATGGCCATCAGATCAAGATGCTGAATCAAATCCTGCTTCTGAAAATGCTAATGATACTCCACAAAATATTCCACCTATGCCCATGAGTGCACCAGCTACTGTAATTCAGTCGGTCGATTCTCAAGATAGTACTGTATACAAAACAGAAAGTAAGTCCTGTGTATAATATGAATATAACATTTTCAAGAGATATTTCCAACAACAAATGCAAGCCATTTGAGAAATGAAGAGAGTTAGATCTGAGAAACAGATAATTGTATATTATTTCTTATATAATATGATCTTATATAGGTGGTGCCGATCTGTCGGCGGAACAAATTGGTAAAGCTCAAAAGCTCATTAAATGGGCAGGCAGTGCATTGGATTACGACGACATACCTACGTCCATAATGAATCTTCAGAAAGCTTTGCATCTTTTGACCACAGGTCAGGAACTTGCGTAAATAAAGAAAGGATAGATAACACACATGGTAATAGCTTATTTATAATTATTCATGTTACACTCGTCGTCTATTTCGCGTAACGGCCAGTACAAATTACTTTTGATAGACATTTGCGGCTTTTACTACTTTTAAATACAGTAGATTCAAAGTTAAAATACCTAGTCAAATCGACCTCATACACAGTGCACTTAAGTAGATAAGACAAAAGTTGTTACAGACTCTAGATTTTAATTGTCATAGTTAATTAAAAACTAAATTGAAGTGAAAATGAAATATGCAATTTTAGTTTTATCCTTTATTGAGAATTTTAATAATACTGCCCACGTTATTTAATATCGACGAGTCCTGTTATTATATTGCAATTCTGTTGTAACAGCATGTACATCTAACGTTTCTTGTACATATGTATTTTTATATATGCTAAATGTTAAAGAGGAAATATATAAATAAACAATAAGTACACAATACCAAAACAAAATAACAGAAGTGTACAAGTATCAAATTTCTCAATATCTACTCTGTATTGAGTATTAAATATAAATAACGATCACAAGCGATAAAGGTTTTATTATTTAAACGATATAGTGTTTCAGACATGTTTTTTATTGCAATTTTATATACAAAAAATGTTTCGACGTGTTAAGAAGCTTCCAACAGAAGGCATGATGTAAATTTTTTCAGACCAATAGACAAATTATCGTCTTACTTTTCGTCTTACGTTAAATTACATGTGAAACTTTGCGGAAAAGGGATTTTTCAGAGTTACTCTCAAGTGTCTTTAAGGTATATCACGAATAAACATTCCACAAAATCGATGAATCCCAAGAAGCCTTCCGAAAATCCACCGGATATTGCAGATAGATATGCAACTATCATAGATGTCGATTGGTAATTGGTAATTGGAAAAAGTTCTATCTGCTGATGGTTTCTCACCTTAAGCTTTATTTATCAAATTGTCCGATCACACTCGTTATCCGTATATGGAGCTTTTAAGGAATAAATTAATACTAATGCACACATGTGTCCCGATTACTATGAAACATTTCTCGTAGTATGTTCATACACGCACGCTCGCACAACATTATAAGGACGCATTCATTCAAAGTGGCAGTTAGTACCTCGTGCTTAAGCTAATGTCACTCAAGGTCAATCGTACCGATGTCGACTGATATTATGCATGGCAAATCAAATCTCTTTTCTCTGTTTATACTATAGCTAATCGTCTTCATTATAACTGTTTTACATTACATACATGTCATAGTTATTTATAATTGTCTATATTATGATTATCTCTATCATGTTTTACTATCATGGTTATCTATATTATATTACAGCTGTTTATATTACAGCATCTTGTATTACATATAGAGTTGCTTGTATTATAATTATAAAAGTTATTGGAAAAGGCAGAAAATTACCAGAATCATTTAACCAAGCTAATTTACACACAAAACTGATTTTACTAATAATCCCTAATAATTGTCCATTAGTAATCCTTTGTTCTTTTTTCATATTGTTGCCTTAACTATAATATAAACAGAGAGAAATCATTTTTCTATAATCATGGCCAGCTATAGCATCAATCGACATTGATGCGGTAGTCTTTGAGAGTGATGTTGCAGAATGAAATACTATCGTCGATTAGCAAAAACGACATTTTAACAATTTTTCATTGAACTGTGTGATTGCTGTCGGATTTTATATTAGATCTGTAATAATAATAATCTCTAAATTGTCTCGAGGAAAATTGATCCATTGCATATTACTTGAGTAAATAACCTGTGTCGATATTACAAACATGATAAGACTATTAAAAATTGCTTCTTCGCATAATTTCTAATCTAATGACGGATCTCATCGCGTCCGAGAATTTAACGATGTTTTTCATACTGCAATAATAGTGCGCAAAGTGGACATAAAGTGCAACGAAAATTCATTTCGCTATTCGCGTTATAAATAATCACCTTAAATTCGATCCCTGTGCCTCGTTTTTACTCTTGGAGAGACGTACAAACTTTATACAAACTTAACCCACGTGATTCCTATAATTACCGTTTCCCTTATTTTCAGATTTTACATAGTTTTTCGATATGAGTCGATATCGAGCCCTGTCCGATATAATCATACAATGGTATTTTGACATAGAAATTCCATTTCTGAAACAATGGAAGCGAGAGAGTACGTTTGAAATAAATAAAGTAAGTAATGGTCAGAGTTGGTCCAGTGTTCCAGAGATGAGACAATAGAATCAAGTGGGTCAACGTGAAAACGGACGAACACGAATTCTCCAGCCATAATCCTGCTCAGTCTTGCTTCTTAGCTTTGTCGTCGACGCCATTCGCCGTCACCGATTGTGCTTCTTGTCGTCTCAGCTGCCAGTCGATCACCAATCGCCCCGTCAGCAGAAAGAAGAACACCTGAGGTCATACGCCAGTTTACAATTCGTGGAATTCAAACGACAACGTATCAATGATCACTCACCAGTGCCGGGGCGATCCTCTCAAATTTGTCATTAACCATGTAGTGAGAGTACACAGCCATCAGCATCAACAGTAGAAGCACTGTGTTTGATACATTTTTAACTTTGTCTAAAAGCAATTTTCAGGATTAATCTAATAAGTCATAACTTCGTTTGCTAAATATATTATTTTGTGTTAATAACGACAGAGGTATGGCGATAGGAATTTGCAAAGAGATGGAACAAAAATTTAATATGAAAAACCCGCGGAAAGCATCAATGAATGGTAGGCTCTGTCTAAGCTAAAAACGAAGGATTTGCGATAATAAATACATTTATAAACCTACAATACGATACTTTTGACACGATGATATGGCACTAAAGATCCGCGAAACGGATAATTTCCCAGGACAAGTGTCCGTCAACGATGAAGAAACGAAGAGAGGATATCGTGATCGAAGGTGTTTAATTTTTTGCACCTACGACTTGGAATAATTGCCATGGCGAAGCCGCAGATAATCTCGAGCGTTCCTACGACTCTTCGATACCACTTGCTGGGTACCTTGAAGTCGAGCGTGCCGGAGAGCGGGAATACCTTTGCGTACTTAACGTACTCCTTCCTCTGAAAAAGGAAAGTATGAAGAGATATCCCAGTGATCTCTCCTTTAGGAAGCACTGAATATCGAAAGAGGAAAAAAGACGCTTATATTTTCTGCACAGGATTAAGTGGCCGGTTAAAAATAGATTTACAAATTATATGCTTCAGATATCGGTAATTATATTTTTCCAATTTTACCGCAACCGAATTTTGAGACATAATTATTGATATATTAAACGTAAAAAATTGTATATTCTGTAAACAGTATTCACATAGTAGTAATAATCGCGAACCCGTTTTGGCAGCCTCGAACAATTCGACGAGGATCCAAAGAAAACGCGACTCTGATATGTGAAGTATAAATATCTCATTCGCCAGCAAGTGAAACGAGCTTACTGGCGGTTGACCAAGCAATTCGCTCGAATGTTTACCTTAATATCACTTTCGTTGGGCAATATTGAAGACACCAAAATAGCAAAATGACACAGTGTACAGCCCGCGCGTTTTACATTTTGACAATGACTCTATGTTGCCTTGTGATAACAAGGTATCGTTGTTACAAGGACGTGTAATCTGTTTTACAATTGAAAAAATATATTTTCTTAAAAAATACACCTACCTAACTTTACAAGGGTAAAATCAGCATAGATCTTAATTTTAAAAATTCCATACAAGTCAATAGTCACATTTTTCCTATTCCGTGAAACAGGTGTATTCCTGCACGGACGTTCAAGTGTTACACCAATAATAGAGAAAGCGCCGCTTCATACTCTAACACACCTGTAGCCGCCATTATTGAGCGCGTTATTGCTGAGTATATTTTTACACCGTCTATAACAAGCTAGAAGACCCGGTATGCGTCGTTCGGCCTACGATCGGCCAGATTTCAGAATTTGTATTTTTTTTTGCTGTCAACCTTGGTCTCGTTGCGATTGATTTACTTGTGATGCTATCATCAAATGATTGATGGAGTGCTTCAATTCATCAATGCTACGATTGCTACATCCAATAGAAAATTAATTTCTTATACAAAAAATCATTTTTGTACTTTCGTTCAGGAAAGTGAGAAAAAGGTACTTGGATTTCTTTTATAAAAGAAAACCTGACAAAAATAGGAATGGAACATATCACGTATTATTATACTTACGCACTCATAAGAGATTAATAATTATTATTTAGCTATAGTTTTCCAATAAATCCTCAGACTTAGTTTTTAAATTCCAAAATATAAAAAATAGATAAAAAGTATAAGAGGAGTTCACTTCCAGAGTTTATTGAAGTGACTTCACCTTTAAACATTTCATCGAAGAGGAACTACTTGTATATTTTTTTTGCGAACGTAGAAAGTGGCGATTTCTCGCGTTTAAATTCCAAACAAACGTTCACCGGATTCGACCTTCCGGATGTTAACGACGCGGAAATGATCGTGGGAACAACACCGGGTGTTTTAGCTGGCGAGGGGAAGCGTCGTTGCCATAAGCACGCGCGCGCGCCCGACTATAACGGCGGATCAAGGGTAGCGGTACAGACTCAGGCACATAATATTACATAATAAAGCCGGGCCGTGACAGATGCACACAGTGGCTCGCACTCTTGGTGTGTCCACTTTAGTACAGACGTCGACGTCGGCGTCTCGTAGAATTACATAAGCAACGGAGATGCTTAGACGAAATAGCGTCCAATCTGTCAGTCTTCGTGTTATACATTAGACAATTTCAATATTATTTGTCTAATTAATTATTTACGAACTAATTACCTAATAATTAATCTTAAGTTCCAGATACATTCAGCAACAATTAGCTACAAAAACGGAAAAATCGACCGATCGCCATTTAGATGTCAGTCGATTTGACAGTTGCATATCGACTATTAAATTCATAAAAAACGGCTCTTCCGATTGATAACTATTAATTACTACATTGATGAACCTGCTAATGCGATATTGACTTCAAGCGAGAGCATCGTTTTATCTTTAGCAACTTTACACACATTGTACTGTGTCGGAATTCGCTGGCCTGCTCCGTCGTTTGCCAAGCTCGGCGAAAACTTGAAATTAACATTGACAAGTTGAGCAATTAACTGTCAACTCTGCCAACTATTAAAACCCCGCCAACATCAGCCGCCATTTATAGTACACAATAACGATGTCTCACCGGAGCGATACGCGCGAGCGAGGAAAAGGTCCTTCCGTCGCGACGGACGAGCGACTTACCAGGTCCTTGTGCAGGTCCTTGCTGATGTGCGACGTGAGCTTCATCGTGCCGACGAAGACGAAGAATATACCGAGCAGCACCGAGAGCGACTTGAGCACTACAGAGCCCATCTTGTCGGCCTGGTCGCAGCGAATCGAGCCGATCGATTACCGGAAGCGAACGGCGCGGCCGTGCGGGCTGCGATTCAGAGAGCACCGCGCGTCCTCGCGAGATCGCACCTGGCCTTCTTCTCCTCGTCGTCGTCGAGACAAAACCGTCGCGGACGAGAACGGTGTCTAGGAGCACATGCTCGCGAGCGTCGCCTCGTTTCCGGAAGCGTCTGTTAGTATATGATCCCGGTGGCAGCGACGACGACGACGGAGGCGACGACGGCGACGTCCATGGTGCGTCGTCCCGACGTCCTCTGTGGCTGACATCGCGAAACGCGCCGCGCGAGAACGACCCCCGGTGACGTCAGCGGCCGCCGCGCGGATGCGCCAGCTATTTTCCGCGATCGATACACGGACACGGACGCTCGCTCGTTCCTCAGATCGATGCCGGGTACTTTGGATTTGGCGATGCGAAATCCAAAGTCGGTTTCGTTTCCTTCCGAAAAAGTCTCTCCTCTGTATCGTTCCGTTCTCTATTCTTTCTGCGTGGAATATTGAGGAAGTCGTACATCGCATTTAGAAGCAGATCCACTTTCCTGTGAGAAAGATAGGACAAAGGATGACAGTCTCTCGATGACGAGGATTTCATTATCAGATGACAGAGATACTCCCAAATGAAGAATGAGATAACTTGCAGTAGAAAAGCAAAATGCTACTCACAGGAAGTCCAAAACATGTTTGTGATCGCGTTTTCGCTTTATAAATAAATAAAGGCTTTTGCTTCTACCTCACCGCTTCTTATCTCGCCGAGACACCAAGAGAATGTAAGGGGTCAAGAGAACTTTTACTCTCTCTTGACGCTTGAAAAGTAGGCTATATGCAGGAATTTTTTTTCTGAAAAATTTCTGCAACGTCATTTCAATTTGCAACTTGACATAATTATATCATATATATCATATAAATGCAGACGAATGTATTAAAAAATAATGGTTGTGTGTCCAGAAATATCATAGGTACGACTACCGAACTTCTTTAGAAAAAATCTTTATAAGAAATATAGCCTTCATTGCTAGGACATCCAAGCGTTCGGAGTCCCCCTCAGAAAATAGAAACTGCCACGAAAAATATTCACACCGTTCTGTACGACTGCAATTCAAGACTCCTCGTTTACACATAATCGCAGTATACGTATTCACACATGTATCCATAGCTTTATTAATATTATATACAAAGATGTAAATTAATTATTAATTAAATTATGGCTTATAGCTGAGATAACTATTTACAGAGAGGCTTTACAGCGCGCACGAGCTTACATGCTCGCGGCTTCGACACAGAGTCACTCTTATCAGAATTATCAGCAACAAAGGGTGATCTCACCGAATCCGTATTTATCAAGACAGTCATAGATGCGTTACTGTCGCTCAATGTAACGACTTTTCGACGACGCAAAACTACTACCGCTTTGCTGTTCTGGTCCTTCTTATTCTTCACCGTGGATGTCTTCTTCGTGTCAACTGACTGAACGTTGGCTTCTTCCGTTTCAGTTTCCTTCGCTGTTGTAGTAGTCGACGCGACTTCGGGACATTCTGAAGTGCTAGATACAGCGTTGAAATTAGGAGAATCGATAACGGTATCTCGAACATAATTATGATCATCGAGGCATGTACGACTCGCCTCAGCGTTGTTATTATCAGGTATTTGATGGGAACTCTCGTTTTCACCAGATACCTGATTTGTATCAACGCTGTCAAGCACAGTTTCGGCTTGCGTAGCGTCTTTAGAAATGGTACTTTTTACGTCTTCAACATCAGTTTGATGAACATTATTATCGGTTTCAGGATTATTTTCTGTGTCAATTTCAACAGTGCCTTCGGCGTAAACATCGCCGATCTCTTCGCTTCTAACGTTATTTTCGTTATTGAAATCGTACATCTCCTCGAGTCTGACAGAGCTATCGCTAGCGTAATCTCTTAAATTTTCATCGACGCAATTTTGACAGTCGCTATCACCGTTATTGTTACGTTCAATATTTTGATTAAAATATAAGGTCACTGGCGATGACTCTCTCGGTTCGATATGATCTTGAACAGAACGCGGTGCAGGTCCATAAGAAAATAGTTTACTCATATCGAGATTGAGAAAATCGTACATCTCGTCGGTCACGTGTTCGCCAGCTGAATTTAACTGCATCGTATCCACGTGAATTGTATTTTCCGCATTTTCTTCTGAAAGAGACGTCGCTGATTCAGTCTGTTTCGTATCAATTTCCGCCGCTTCTTCCAACTGCTTCGTAACGGTACTGCTATGAGGAATTAGATCTCTCGATTTAACATGATCCGCTTGTTGATCCACGGCCGTATTCCCGCTTGCATCTTCGACCTGAGTAATTTCTGTGGCATTAGCACCGATTTCTCCCTTTATTACTTGATCCATGGAAATTTTTGTAGAATCACTTTCTTTCTTGGGGCTACAATCGGTACTGCTCGAAATCTCGCCCTCCTCCATATTACTGCTGTTTTTAGTAGCATATCCCGACGTGCTTTCTGCAGAACTCACAAGTGCACGTGTTTCATTCTTTGCGCTATGCTGTTCGATACTTTCTCCGTGACTGTTCTTTACTTTAATAACATGTACAAATATTTGATTGGAAGACGTTTGAGAATCGTCGTTTTCTACTACAGCTTTATCATCTTTGTACGATCGCTTATCTTCCGATGTAGTCGCTGCCGTCTCTTTTGGTCTGCGATTATCGTATCTGTTACTTTTATACGAACCACTTCTACTTTCTTTGTCTTCGACGTCGTTCATGGTATGTTTTAATCTATCTCGCAAATCGCCGCGCTCTCTATCACTGTACCTTGTCCTAACACCAGTTTCTCTGCTGTCGTAGCTTCTTCTCGACCTATCGTTCCTATGTCGACTATCATATTTATAATCGTCGTACCTTCTATCTCTACATGTCCTACTTGATTTCTCACGTAAACGATGACTGCTCTCGTAATCACTTCTGCTCTTAGAATAACTCCTAGAACTCGACGAACCATGTCTGTAATGATTCTTTCTGTGACCGTTGATGTAATCATCATGATGATAGTCGCTGTTAAGCTTTTCATTCGATGTCGAAGCACCCCGATTTCTTGAGCTATCGATAGATCCTTTCCTGGTACGAGAATTATCATAATCCTTCATTGAACTGGTTTCCTCCTGCTTTTTCCACTCATTTCTACACTTTTGTGCTTGTTTCGTACCACTGTATTCCGAACTGGCTCTTCGATTCATCTCAAGATAATCTCTTTTAGAAGAATGCGTGAAATATAATTCTTCCAATTTCGTGAAATCATCCTTTATATCGTATTGCATAATTGCATGATTGTAATCGATATCATCACCCTTGTTTTGATTATCCTCAATCTTTAAACGCTTGTTCTTACATGTATCATCCTTCTCATTCAGTCTTTTTGCTGAGTTTTTTTTATATGAAGTCTCTGTGATAATAAAAACGTATACTTAATATTTTTGGTATAAGACTTATTATAAAATCATATTTAACTATATCTAACAATGCAACATATTTCAAGATATACGTACATTTTTTGCAAAATACAAATATTATAAATTTGCAAATATCTACATTATATAACTATATTACCTGAATTAGAAATTTGAATGATAGTATTAAATTCATTAACATTATTTATACTGAATTGAGATCCATTCTCTTTATCACTTTCGACAATGCACTCATCAGGGATTTTATTTACATTAGTCTCTGAGCCAAGCTTTGGTAAGTTCAGTCTCCTTTCTTCCTTTTCTTCCATAATTTTCTTGTATAATCTCTCTCCAAATATCGTGGCTGGCATTTGATTTGTATTATTCTGCTGCTTTCTGCTTTTGTATTCAGTATAACGTGATTCACTTTGCTGCAACATAACAGCATCTTCTTCTAATTTTGCTAAAGGAATATTTTCAGACTTTTCTATCATTGTGTTATGTTGTTGCAATGATTTGGAGAAACATTGAGATCTGTTTCTTCTAAAGACTGTGTCGTCCAATCTGTAATAATTTTCATAATATTAAAAAGGAAGGGAAAATTATAAACTTTAGGAGATTATATTAATTTGCATGAAGTTCATACTGATTTCTAAGTTCTTGTATCATCTTATCCTTCCGTGCAATTTCTGCTTTTGCCGTTTTTAACAAGGAAGCTAGATTTTTCTCCAAATTTTTATTAATCTCTTCAATACTTTCATATTTGCTAGTGAGTGAATTAAACTTCTTCTTTAGTTCTTCGCAATTGCAAGTATGATCAGTTTTTGGTTGATCCTTCGCATATTATAAAACAAACATATTTGAATATTGATCCATAAGATTATATAAATTTTTTAATTATTTAAAAATCAAACAAAATTAAACTTTGTTATATGATAAATGGGCTGAAATAGGAGTGTCAAACAGATGATAGTATTGTAAATAAATATTACATATAATGTTAGGAATCGGATACATTCTTTAGGAGCACTAAGTTAGAGCAAGTTTATGCATTTTTTTCTGATTTCATTCCTGTAAAATTAATTTTACTTATAATACACAGTAAGTAAAAACAAAGGACTTTTATATTATTCTATATGTTTTATATAGCCCAAACTTGATTTATGTTCATGTAGCACGAATAGCGTTAATTGTAACATTACTGTGAATGAGCCTCACATTTATGTTAGATTTCGTCAGATCGAAATTTGTTAAATCCGCGTATATGTCAATATCTTCCTCCATTTCTCACGATTTACAATTTGTTACACTAATTTGATCATTGCAATTTTTTTATGTATTATTATACAGATAACTGTTACGTTCGTCACGTTGGTGATCAGCAACATACCACAACCTAACATAAAGAAACTAATCTGGATCACGCATGTGCGACAAAATGGCGAGTAATTCAGGAACGTACACATCAATGCAGAAATCTTAGTTTTTATGAGATATTACTAACAGCAAGAAATATAATTAAGATAAGTAAATAAATATTTACGTTGCACCTATAAATATATTGGATACATTCTAATTAAAAGCATGAAGACTTAGAATAAAAAAGAAGTTATTGGGGAACATAAAAAAAATTGAAGAACACAGTAACGATATATGCCATTTTACTCGAGATATATCTTGCACTTGATTCTTCTCCTTCTCCCTCTCTCTATTTTTGCGGATACACATCTATCATATCTCAAATGCTGACAATGTTATTGTTCCTCTCTGCTCATAGAATGCCTGAAATAGAACGCATCCTATGACAGGCATTCATACTTAAGGCGAACTTCATATTTAAGATCATCCCAAGTTTATCTCGAGATGCAGCCAATGAACCAACTCGTACAGCACCTAAAGATAAATATATAAAATAACGTTGAATATAAAATCCAATAAAAAATATCGCCATACGTATATGACTTTACTTCAGGTGTAGGAGGTGTAACATCTTGCAGTTAGGAAGAGCAGATTTCAAAATGGCAGGATGGGAACGTAATGCAGAGACTCTACCGTGCATGGCGCATGTGTAGTGCCAGGGACGACGGCCGTCGCGAGAAGTTACGACTGCCATTCGCGACGGAACAGCAGCGGTATCCACTGGTATCGCGGTCGCGCGCGTGTCCGTCGTGCTCACGCTTGCGCGTGCTATCCATCGCGTTCCCCGCTGACGTAGCGCGCGAAGCACACATCGTGTGTACGCCAACCACGACGGTGACGACGCGATCGCGTCGCGTACGCACGGAGCGGCGGAGCGAAGTGACGTTCGGTGACAGTCGCGGAGCAACACTCGAAGCAAACGTCACTCCGCTGACGCGACGCGTGCCGCGTAGATGCGGTTGCGACTTCCCGAACGCGCGTTTTGCCTCGCACTCGCCTGTCGTGCACGTTAGCCGTACGTTTTCCAATCGCGTCGGCTGCGCGTCCACCGATCATCGAATGGGTCTCGATATGCGCGCCGAGAGAGCACTCGACGCGGCAGTTCGGCGAGTGTACGGAGAAGAAGAAGAAGAAGAGGAGGAAGAAGCAGCAGCAGCGGTGCCGCGCGGCGACACGTTTCGCGCGTATTGGTGAGGCGATGTGGTGTGGTGCCGCCGCCGGTGTATACACAGTGTAGTGGCGTGGTGGTAGTAATAACAGCAGCAGCAGCAGCAGCAGCGGTGGAATTTTCAAGGAGAAACCTTGGGGAAACCGCATCTCGGCCGCTGGACTTGCAGGTAAATATGCGTCACGCGTACGTAGTACGCACGCACGCACGCATGTACAGCGAAAGCAGCGGGCGTACGGGCCGCGTGTAACGCGAGACCTGCGCTTTGTCCGCGGCGAAGCGACACGTCCGACGCATCGGCGGACCTGTTGATATCGCACGCGCTTATCGGCGACACACCGTGAGCCTACCGATGCGACTCGAATTGCGATCGTCACGGCGATATCTCGCGGTTCGTTACGCCTTCCGCCTGGTCCTCCTCGTCGATTGCATCACACAACGGGTTCAGTGTGGCTCGCGGCCCATACTTTGACCTTGCGATATTGCCAATTGGGTTCCGTGCGTGTGTTCCCCAAATCCTCCAAATCTGCATAACTGGCACGATCGTTTCGCTTATTGCGCGCGACGCGCGCGCGGCGTTTGAGCTCGAAAATACATTCTCGAGCGATCAATGACGCGCGCTCGTATCAAAACACAAGACCGTGTCTTTATGTTGCGAGTTGGAATCTCGATTAAATTCAACCATGTGTATATTTTGCAGCGTATCTCCGTATCAATTGGACAATTAGTACTGCTGATAAGCAGATTCAGGAGGGAGGGAGAGATAGCTTCTGAGATAAAAGTTATCTAAGAGTAAACGATTTCAATTAGCCGAACGCGATAGTTCGAGATGACGCACGAGGCTGAGAATCGGTTGAGCACGCCTTAGGTTTCAACCTAATTTTCAGCGATTTTGCGATACCACCGATAACCAGGGAGAGAAATGCGCGAGAAGACACGAGCGATCGATCAAACACCGACGTAAATATAACGCCGTCGCTGCCGCCGTAAACACAAAGATCGCCGACGCTAATACGGCGCCCCGGCGGATCCTACGTGCGTCAGGGTGCGATTGTACGTTGACCCGACGCGACGTTTCGTTGTTTCGCTCGTGCAAAAGTCGCGCAATTAGCGCACTTTTAACTCCGCTCGCTCCCACGCATATGCAGCGGCGAACTAGTTCGCGAAGGTTTTTTAAACGTCCCTCGTAACGCCGCCGCGGCCGCCGCCGCCGATCATTAACGCCTTTCACTCGCGGTTGATTTCTTACCGGGAGCCTTCGCTGTATCGCGCGAGCGATCGGTATCGCCGGATTCTCGACGAACCTCACCGGGCCAGGACGCGCTTCTCCTCGAACAATGATAGGCGCAATAGGCGGAATTCGAAGACCGCGCGGAGCGATAACCCGCGACATTTTCGCCGAAGCGTCTAACGTCCCGCGGAGGGGAGCGGGGATTAATCATTTCATAGAGATGATCGGTGATTCACGATGACCCCCGGGGTCTACCCCGCGGTAACACATTCTGAATCAGCGTGTGGCCGTGCGGAGGCTACGCTCGGCGATTCGCCGAGTAAATCGGCAACGTGTGAGCCTGCCTGCTCCTTCGAATCCTGTAAATTCCTCGCTGCGCGCAGCATCGCGACGTCGACGCGGCCAATGAGAGCCACTGCTTTTCGCACTGCATTATCTTCCCGATTCCCGATGTGTATCTCGGTGGCTTTGTATCGAGTAGAAGCAGTCTTTTGCGCGTAAACGGAACACGCCGGGCGATGCACCGCCGCGCTCGTACGGTGACGCGTGTTGCCGCAGATTTAAACACTTGAAGGTATTCGTACGCGATGACGATGCAGCGATGCAACGACACACTCCGCGACCTTCGTGCTCCTGCGGCTTCCTTCGCAGTGCCGTAGAAAAGAAGTGCCGAAGCGGCGTTGAAATCAGCATCGCGGTGCATTCCGCCGGTGGTTTCCGCGGAAGAGAAGCGTGTCGCTTCTGGAGAAACGCCCGTCGACCGAATTTCTGTTCGCTCAGGACGGAAACTCGCTTACAGTAGCGGAGGGATTCCTGTAAGATGTTCCTGGTTCGCGATCCTCTGTTTTCAGTCACCGCTGCGGAATTTCTCAACGTCGAGAGGAATCTTCCTGATCGCGTTGGCTAAGGATTAGGACCTCGAAGAAACACGGGGAAAAATGTTCCGCCTGTTTTCGGTAGCGGTGCGACAGGGAGAGAGATATCGTCCTCCTCTAATCGCCGAGTTTTCGTCTGCTCATCATTCCGTTACGCGAGCCTGACTTTTTTCTGTGCTGAACTAACGGAAAGGATGGCCATTAAATAATTATCTCCCTCTCTCTCTCTGCCCCCCCCCTCTCTCTCTCTCTCTCTCTCTCTCGTCTCGTCCTCTCTCCGCTTCATTTTTACTCCGCTTGCGAAATATCGATACGATCATCTGAATGCTCCACGCCGCGATATTTTGACGAACTCGTGCTCGCGAATGCGGTGATAAGATCGATATCGCGCGTGTGCTTCCGTTGAAATAACGGTAATATGTATAGAAAGTATGAATGAGAGTAGAAAGTATCCGCCGGCATTACCGTTAAATCTGATGCCGCGCGTACGCGAAAGCGCGACGGTGAATTAAAATATCGCGCTGTGCTGTACGGCTCGTATGTCTTCTTCTTCTTCTTCTTCTTCTTCTTTTTGTCTTTTTTGGCGGATGAAATCTGCTGAGTGTACGCGACGCGCCCTACCAGCCCGCGCCGGGTAACGTCTCAACGGCGCCGGGATTTCCCGTTTATCGAAAGTGTAACAAAAGACCATTGCATATTTCTGTCATTGCATATATGTGTCCAACGTTTCCGAAAATCGTAACAACAAAGTCGCTTGATATTCCTTTCTGCGAATCTACTGGAGATTGCAAAGTACATTTCTGTCGCTTGCATCACCAGTTCTCTTAAATCCGCACCGCAAGATCCGCGAGTCTCCGACATTGACGGTCGATGGTGACGAGGACGATGTTTAATTCCTGCGTCGACAGGCGGCGTCGAGAGAAATGAATGTTTATTGTACGAGGTGCGCCGGAGGCATCCCGCGCGCTCAGGCACCGCTCGAGGAAAGAAGCCGCGGAGAGCGAGAGAGAGAGAGAGAGAGAGAGAGAGAGAGAGCGAGAGAGAGAGAGAGAGAGAGAGAGAGAGAGAGAGAGAGAAAGCGCGAGCTGCAGACTCTCGGTAGCACCCAATGTACAATTCGCCGTTTTAATTTACAACACCAACGCGTGTTTTGCGGCACACGCATGGAACAACACGGCGGCGGGGAAGTACCGCGATGCGTGCTGCTCTGTCGCAGGAATGTGCATTACGGAGGAGAGCGAGTAGGGATGATACCTAGATCTACTACGCGCGGTGAGGCAGGAAACGGCCGCTTAAGAGCAATAAACAAGCTATTAGTGTATACACCGTCTGTATGGTGTACATTAACGCGATAGCGTAACAACGTGGCACAATTAAATGCACGCTAATCGCCAGAAGCCCCGGCCCCGAACTTTCGGCTCGCGAGCCGATGGACGTCGCGCGAAACAATCGTTTACCGTCGCCTGTTGCCGGCGATATCCGTTCGATGTAGATTGCGAAAAAAGAAGGGAAAGAAAGGAATGAAGCATGAGCACATAACACCGTGTTTATACGTTTCTGAATGCACCGTGGCATCGTTCCCGCGCCTAAACGGGTTACTCAATGTCAACCGATGATTTAAAAAACGAAATAGATGACTCCCGGAGCCCCGTTGTCGTGATATTTGACGCTGGCAATCGGTTTAATGAACTTTTTTTTTTTACAGGGATCTGGACGGGGCTA